TAAATAATGTTTACATATGTATAAAAGCCTACATTAAAATCTGTCATATAAATTGGTCTCTTCATTAGAAATTAGCCTACTGATTGCCACCATTGATGGACAAATTTTTAAAATAATATTAAAAATATCTGTATGACATTATATTCTGCAGTTCTTCCCTGTTGTACCGAATATCTATACTTTTCAAATTATCCTATCGAAGTTAGAAATTCAAATATTGTGACAAAATTAATTTTGTAGGGTGCCACAAGTTTGTTAAAATTTCCAAAGGGTGCCGCGACTAAAAAAAGGTTGGGAAACACTGCACTAGTTAATGGTGACTACAAGGGAGATTTCCATACTCACTCTCTCGCTCACCCTTCATATTTGAATACAGCCAAATAATAGTGCTCATGAAATTAAGCTTTCCTGCAACCTGTCTGTAGGTACTTTATTTTGAATGGGAAAAAAATCAAATGAAGACTTGATAACAGGAACTGCTGGTTGTTTACACAACAAAAACTCACCACTTATGAGACTTACTTGAGCAAATGAAGGTCATGGACAAATTCAATTCTCAGACCAAACAGAAAGTACTGTTGCATGATTTTCCTCAGTGCTGTTTTGTACACGGCATCATAATGAAATAAGCTCTGTTTCTTATCGTCAAATATTATTTCTGCTCCATAACATAATGAAAGTACTCTTCTTCTGTAGCATCTGTTTGGAGGTGGGGCTAAAACAATCTAAGCACTACATAACAACTATTTATATACATTTTCTATACAAAGAGGTGGTGAAAAACAAATAAGCCAGTGTCCTGGTGTGGGGTTACTTCTGTGCTTATTGTACTTTTAGAGACGTTATATGATTATATGATCAAACTGCTCTATACAGTGAAATCAAGTTCATTCAATCTCAACAGATCAATATGCTATTTCTTGCTTGTTACACTGTGAATAAATCATCAGTACCCTCATAGAGCTGTAGGACGACGTGCTTTATTTTTACACATAAATGTACAGCAAGAATTGTGGGTGAATCTCATGAAAACATATTTCAACCTAAAATAAAAAAGGAAATTATATTTTGCATAAAATGCAAGTTTATTCTATATTTCTTATGACTGTTCTTAAATTTTAATGTGTAGATAGTAAAGATAATTTGAGGGGGAAATGGTTCATTTTCATGAAAATGCGACTGCAAAGAATCTTAATAGTACAGTGCAAAAAAAATCATTTGTTTCATTAGATTTTGAAATATGATCCATTCATGGTAGATTTCATGAGATTTATCCTTGTATATTTATGGTCATGTTGCACTTTGTACATTTTAAAAGCAGTGTGTTGAGGAATCAGGCCAGTGATGGTAGTTGATGCTGTACACTCAGAGGCTGTATTCATAACTAGTCCTGGTTAACTATCAGAGGCCTGATGAAAAAGAAGCCTACTAATTTAATTGTACCGTATGACACTCATATATCTCATGCAGACATTTCTATACATTAGTAAAGAAAGTTTTTTTTTTTCCCAGAAAAAAATTTTGTACAAAAAAAACCCAATACCCCTTTGTGATATCTTTATGAAGGTCATTGAGTATTAGCACTACATAACAACTATTTATATACATTTTCTATACAAAGAGGTGGTGAAAAACAAATAAGCCAGTGTCCTGGTGTGGGGTTACTTCTGTGCTTATTGTACTTTTAGAGACGTTATATGATTATATGATCAAACTGCTCTATACAGTGAAATCAAGTTCATTCAATCTCAACAGATCAATATGCTATTTCTTGCTTGTTACACTGTGAATAAATCATCAGTACCCTCATAGAGCTGTAGGACGACGTGCTTTATTTTTACACATAAATGTACAGCAAGAATTGTGGGCGAATCTCATGAAAACATATTTCAACCTAAAATAAAAAAGGAAATTATATTTTGCATAAAATGCAAGTTTATTCTATATTTCTTATGACTGTTCTTAAATTTTAATGTGTAGATAGTAAAGATAATTTGAGGGGGAAATGGTTCATTTTCATGAAAATGCGACTGCAAAGAATCTTAATAGTACAGTGCAAAAAAAATCATTTGTTTCATTAGATTTTGAAATATGATCCATTCATGGTAGATTTCATGAGATTTATCCTTGTATATTTATGGTCATGTTGCACTTTGTACATTTTAAAAGCAGTGTGTTGAGGAATCAGGCCAGTGATGGTAGTTGATGCTGTACACTCAGAGGCTGTATTCATAACTAGTCCTGGTTAACTATCAGAGGCCTGATGAAAAAGAAGCCTACTAATTTAATTGTACCGTATGACACTCATATATCTCATGCAGACATTTCTATACATTAGTAAAGAAAGTTTTTTATTTTTTTCCAGAAAAAAATTTTGTACAAAACAAACCAATACCCCTTTGTGATATCTTTATGAAGGTCATTGAGTATTTCCAAATGTTTTACCAAGTATCCATTGGTTGAACTTTATGTGTTGGTCAGAATCATTTCTTTTAAACCTGTTATTGAGTAAATGTAATTGACAGGAACTGATTTTCTAATGACATTTTGACTGCATTGAATGATTTGAATCCAGTGCACATTCACAGTGAATTTGCTGTTTATATTCCATTCTTTCTGCTTTTACCAGAGGACAGAATTGTCACATGAACCAGGGGAAAATAAAAACAATGTGCTTGATCATAAGACTTGCGATGTAATCTGTTGACATTTCTGCTTTGTGGATAACGATGCCGTAAGGCCTTTTATATAACCTAATGATATCTCCCTCCAGCCCTCACTGGCCAGTAAGACATGTCCTAAAGTGTATGACTGCTATATTGTGCTGAAACCCAGAGAGATCAGATATTGGGAATTGTGAGGTTTGTACAATTCTGCAAATGTCTCACGACAAAATACATGATTAAGATACAGATGTTATGCACCATTTTATATTATGATGATACTTTTAATGAGTGTGAGGGTGAAAATAAGCCACATTTGACTGGGTATAACATCATATGCAACCATTAAATGGCTTGTATTATGAACTGTTTCAAATGATTTTCGTCCTGTAGTTCTGTAGTCCGTTTCAAACTCCCGTCTTTTTGTCTTTTCTCTTTCGTAGTCAGTTGTTTTGATACAGCAAAAACATTTCTTTAATGATTTGCTTGTCAAATTTGTATTCAATCTTAGTTAAATTGAT